CCTATTGGCAATTTGGGTAACCCCTTCAGAGGATGCTGTGATAAGAATAGGAGATAGGAATTAGCTAGGCAGTTACGGTTAAAAGATCCCAAAGAAACGTAGCCAGTTTCCTGGCTAAAAGTCAAAATGTCCTTGGGCCTGTTAGCAACATACTCTGTTCCAAAGGCCAAAAATGTCAAAAGTATTTGGGAGCTAGTATCTAATCCTTAAAAGATTTTAGGGTTACCTCTTCAGAGGGGGGAATGTTGGAGGGGAGGGAGTGGGCATGGATTTGATCAAAACACCTTGCATGTATGTATGAAATTCTCAATAAAGGTTTTGTAAATTTTTTTAAGTCTTAAATATTATGCACGATCAATGTTTCACAATCTCTTTTCAGACCAAACTGGAAAATAGACATCAATAGTAGGTAGAAAACAGAGGAATCCCCAAATGCCATGTAGACAGTCATACATATTTAACACATTCTTATTTAAAATGGGAAGAGAATATAGATTTTCATGCTATGTAAATATTCTACATGAATCTCATCAAAGTCCTATGATCATTTTCAGGAAGAAAACAATGAAAAATCTCAAGAAACACAGGTGTGGTGGCACACGTTTTTAATCCCAGCACTTGGCAATGCCACGGAGGTCAGAAGAGGGCTTTGGATTCCCCTGGAACTGGAGTTAAGGACGATTTGTAGCTGCCATGTGGTGCTGGGAATCGAACCTGGGTCCTCTGCAAGAGCAGTCAGTACTCTTAACCGCTGAGCCATCTCTCCAGCCCCAGCCTCCCCTCTTTTCACATTCTAAGGCTCTTTGCTTTGTTCCAGACAGGAGACCAGAACAGGCTTACACACAGCAAGATCTACAGACACCAGATTGCTGTAGTTCTCCAACATCAACTCATTGTACAAAACCCTCTGAGCAGAGTCTAGGCATTTCCTCTCCTTCTGGGAGAAGTCTATGGACACATCCTTGGATATCAATGGATCCTGAAAAGAAGCCATCGTTCTCTTCCTTCTATGAGTTTCCTTTCCAGGAAATATATAAACAGTTTTCTCTTTCTTTTGCTGAAACTTCCTTTCAGTTCACTGAAAATCTGCCTCACCAACAAAAACAAGACAGCTGTAATTCTCCACCATCAGGTCTCTGTGCAAAGCCCTCTGAGCAGGATCTAGGAATTCCCTCTCCTCCTGTTAGAAGTCCACAGCCATGTCACTGAATGTCAGCACACTGGCTCTGCATGGTTCCTGTGACTTTGGTGAAGTTTCGTATCCCATTGAGACCCGGTCTCCCTATGTCTCTGTGGAGTTTTCCAGGCCCCAAAGGCCCCAGAGAACCACCAGACTTTGGTGCCTCTCCACCTCTGCCTTATTTATTATTTTTATTTAATGTGTATGAGTGTATTGCCTGCATGTAAGTGCACCTGTGTCATGCAATGCCCGTGGAGGCCAGAAGAGGGCATTGGAGCCCCTGGAACTGGAGTTGCTGATGGTTGTTAACTGCCATGTGGGTGCTGGGAATCAAACTCAGGTCCTCTGCAAGAGAAGCCAGTGCTTTTATCTGTTGAGCCATCTCTCTGGGCCTGAGTTAATCTTCATATATATATTTTAACTTTATTTTATGTGTATGCTTGTATTGCCTGTAAGTAGGTAAGTGCACCCATGTTGTGCAATGCCCACGGAGGACAGAGAAGCTGTTGGATCCCCTGGAACTGGAGTTACAGACAGTTGTTAGCTGCCATGTGGGTGCTGGGATTTGAACCTGGGTCTTCTGCAAGAACAACCAGTGTTCTTAACCACTGTGATGGTTTGAATGAAAATATCCCCTATAGCCTTCAAGTATTTGGATATTTTGTCCCCAGATGATGGCATGTTTTGGGAAGTTTTAGAAGGTGTGGCTGTCCTGGAGGGAGCATGTCACTGGGGGTGGGCTTAGAGAATTCTTAAGCCTTGCTGGATCTCTAGTCGCTCTCTTGCTTCCTGTGCCTGTGTGATTGATGTGAGAGCTTAGCCTCTGCCTCTCCTGCTCCAGCCACCTCCAACCACCATGCCTCCCTGCCATGATGGACTGTAATTCCCCTGGAACCGTAAGCTCAAATAAACTCTTCCTTCTATAAATTGCTTGGTTCAGTATTTCTATCACAGCAACAGAAAAGTGACTAATACAACCGCTGAGCCATCTCTCCAGCCCCCGAGTTAATTTTCTTTAAGGAAGAGACTCTAGATAGACTGACTAGACTGCAGTGGATGAGCTTGCACTGAGGGATGTCTGGGTACATCCCTTGACTTGACTTGATGGGTCTTAACATATATTACAGAATGCATGAAATCAGGTTGGGGGGAGCTAGAGAGGGGTACATGTGGAGGAAGGGAGTATAAAGATGATTAATATGTTTTGTATGAAATGCACAAAAATTCAATAAAAATATACATTGAAAAAAAAAAGGAAAGCCGGGCATGGTGGCACATGCCTTTAATCCCAGCACTTGGGAGGCAGAGGCAGGTGGATTTCTCCGAGTTCAAGGCCAGTCTGGTCTACATAGAGAGTTCCAGACCAGCTGGGGCTACAGGGAAACCCTGTCTCAAAAAAACAAAAACAAAAACAAAAACAAACAAACCCAAAACAAAAATGGTGGACAAACTTGCACTGAGGGACATCTCGAGACACTGATTTTACATAATAGGCCTTAATACAAATGACAGAATGTATGAACTCCCATGGGGGGGCCTGGCTATGGGAGGGTGCCAAAGGGGAAGAGGAAAGGGGGTATAAAAATGATTTTATGTAGGAAGTACACAAAAATTCAATAAAAAATTATGAAAAAAAAGAAAACATGTTTCAATTTGCAGGGATACACTCTACTATCTATGTGGCTGAGGTAGGAGATCATTTGAGTCCAGGAGTTCAACTTAAGTCTGGGCAACACAACAAGACTCTCAAAAAATAAATTTAAAAGATCATGAGATATCATGGCACATCTAATAGGATGGTATCCAAGTTTGCTTTCTGTTCCTATCATAAAACAATGACAAAAAGCAGCTTGGGGAGAAAAGTATTTATTGAATCTTACACTTCCAAGTGACAGTCCATCCCTGGGAAAAGTCAGGCAGGAACTCAAATCTGGAACCTGAAGTCAGGAACTGGCTTGCTCCCTCTGGCTTGCTCAGCTTATACAGCCCTGTCCCACCTGCCCAGGGATGGCACCACCCACAATAGGCTGGAACCTCCTACATCAATTAACAGTTAAGAAAATGTGTCACAGACATGCCACCATAATACCTTACCTCATTGTTGTTTTGACTTACGTTTCCCTAGTTAAACATCTTTTTTTTGTGTGTGTGCTTATTGATCAATTGTGTATCTTTTTTTTTTTTTGAGACAGGGTCTCCCCAGCTGGCCTGCAACTCACTATGTAGACCAGGCTGACCTTGAACTCACAGAGATCCACCTGCCTCTGCCTCCTGAGTGCTGGGATTGAAGGCGTGTGTCAACATGCCTGGCCTAATTGTATGTCTTTTTAAAGATGATTTTGTTTATTTATTTTTATTTTATGTGTATGAGCATTATGCCTGCATGTATATAAATGCGCCTGTGTCTTGCAATGCCCACAGAAGACAGAAGTGGCCATCGGATCCCCTAGAACTGGAGTTATGGATAGTTTGTTAGCTGCCACATTGTACTGAGATTCAAACCCAGGTCTTCTGTAAGAGCAGTCAGTCCTCTTAACTGCTGAGCCATCTCTCCAACCATAATTGTTATCTTTTTTTTTTTTTTTTTTGGTCTTTTTAAGAAAGGGTCTCCCTGTAGGCTGGCCTTGAACTCACAAAGATCTGCCTACCTCTGCCTCCCAAGTGCTGGGATTAAAGGCATGCACCATCATGCCTGGCACAATTGCATATCTTTTTGTTTGTTTGTTTTTTGTCTTTTTGAGACAGGGTTTCCTTATAGCCCCAGCTGTCCTGGAACTCACTATGTAGACCAGGCTGGCCTCAAACTCGCAAAGATCCACCTGCCTCTGCCTTCCAAGTGCTGGGATTAAAGCAATGTTCCACCATGCCTGACACAATTGTATATCTTTTAAAAGAAATGTTTACTCAAGTCTCTTGCCCATTTTTTTAAATCGGGAAGTCTTTGTTGTTGAATTGTGGGAGATATGTATATGATAAATATTTATATATGTGCATATGTATATACTTGATATTAACCCCTTATCAGTATATGTTTTACATTCTCTTCCATGTTATGAATTATGTTTTTACTATTTTTATTCTTTTTTGTGTATGTTGTGTTGTGTGTATGTGTTTGGTGGGTGGGTATGTGCACTTTTGTGTGCAAGTATGCATGCCCAGCCCATGTACTCATGTGCAGAGGCCAGAGGAGGACATCTGGTGTCTTCCTCTATCACTGTCCAACTTATTCCCTTGAGACAGGGTCTCTTGCTGACCCTGGAGCTGGCTGTTTGACTAGGCTGACTGATCAGCAGGGTTCTAGGAACTAGCTCTCTCTACCCTGTAGCTCTGGGGTTACAGGCACATGTGGTCATGTCCCCTGTTTTACACAGATTCTTGGATTCAAACTTACGTCCTCATGCTTGCACCAACCATATTCCCAGGTCTCTATTTTCAGTGTCTTGATACTGTTTTTTGTGAGACCTGGCCTTTTGCAGTCAACCCAAGTACTTCTGGGGAAGTTATTTTCCTCTGACTGTGGATGAAGAAAGAGTCCTGGCGAGAAGTCACACATTCTATTTTTTGAGGACAAGACTTTGGAGCTACCTATTCACCCAGCTGGGTTTGGCCCAGAATGCAGGATCCCTTCCTCTCTTTCCCCTTCTCATGTTCAAAGACAAATCATATAAGAACAGTATAAGGACAGAAGTATCCACCATTGACTACGAGGAAATAGACTCAGGTCTGGTGTCAGGACTCAAAACACAAGGCTTATCAACACACATGACAGCATGAATAAACCTTGAAATAATTGTGCTAAGTGAAAAAAGCTAGCCATAGACCATGTTTTATACCATTTGATTTATATGAAATTCCTAGAGTAGGTCAGTCCATTGAGAGAAAACTAGATTAGCATGTGCTGGGGTAAGAAAGCCAGTTTAGGGGGGAATAGTTACAAATGTCAATGGGTATGGGTTTGGAGAGGAACATGACAGAGAATGTAAAATTGATTGGAGGTGAATTAGATGATGAAAGAATTGTATGTTCAATAAAGATGTTATTTAAAAAGAAAGGGCAAGAAACAAAGGCTAAGGCTCCATGGATGCCCGCCTTTTCTGCCTTGGCAGGCCAGGGCTTTCTTCACTTGGAAAAGCGAGTCCATGCCTGGATGTCATGGCAGCGGGGAGGCTTCATGGTCAGCCCGTAGGTAGGTGTAAGATCCACCTTTAGGCCTGGTGGCACACTGAACTCCAGATTTTGCAGCAGGATGGCTAGGAAGAGGAAAACCTCCCACTTGGCTGGGGTCTCCCCTATGCACCGGCGCTTGCCCAGGCCAAAGATCATCACCTTCTCACTCAAAGTCTTGTTGATGGCTGTGTTGTTGTCTGTAAGAAACCGCTCTGGGCGGAACTCAAAGGGATCCCCCCATTGCTTCCTGCAAGAAAATCAGAGGAGATGGGATCTGAGCTGGGTGGGCTCTGGAAGGAAAGGCTGGCTGGGAGCAGATTTCTGAAGACCTTCTGTGAAGTACAAGATTGACAGTCACAAAAGCCTAGTGGGAAAGGGACCAAACACTGCTTATTTCTTTTCTTTTCTTTTTCTTTTTTGGTCTTTTTGAGACAGGGTTTCCCTGTAGCCCCAGCTGTCCTGGAACTCACTATGTAGACTAGGCTGACCTTGAATACTTATTTCTTTTTGTTATTGCTCATTTTGTTTGTTTGTTTTGAGGTAAGATTTCATGCATCCCAAGTTGGCCTTGAACATGTAACCTGTTTGAACTTCTGATCCTCCTGCCTCTGACTCTAGAGTGCTGGGATTTCAGACAGGTGCCACCAGCTGTTGTGCTGTGTACATAGCAGGAGTGTGCTACCTGGTTTTTTGTGGGGCTGAGGATCGAACCCAGGGCCTTGTGCGTACCAGGCAAGCTCATTACCAACTCAGTTACACCCATAGCCATATTAGAGCTTGTCTCTTTCACAAAGCTCTCTTTAAAATGATCATCCTTGAAGAGAATGTTTTGTTTTGTCTTTTTTTTTCGGTCTTTTTGAGACAGGGTCTCCCTGCAGCCCCAGCTGTCCTGGAACTCACTATGTAGACCAGGCTGGCCTTGAACTCACAAAGATCCGCCTGCCTCTGCCTCCCAAATGCTGAGATTAAAGGTGTGCACCACCGAACTCAGCTTGTTTTGTCTTTTTAAGACAAGGTCTCCCTGTAGCCTCAGCTGGTCTAGAACTCACTATGTAGACCAGGCTGGCCTTGAACTCACAGAGATCTGGCTGCCTCTGCCTCCTGAGCCACCATGCCCATCGAGAATGGATTTTTACTATTACTTTGTATTGCATTTTTATTTATCTTGTGTATGCATGTGGAAATCAGAGGACAACTTGCAGAAGTCAATTCTCTCCTTCCCATGTAGGTCCTGGGGATTGGACTCAGGTTGTCATATGTGGCAACAAACACTGAGCCATATCACTGTCCCAGGGTAGTTGTTTTTAATATTCATTTATTTTAGCCATTTGTGTGTGTGTGTGTGTGTGTGTGTGTGTGTGTGGTGCTAGGGATTGAACCTAGCTAGGACTTTCCACAGGCTAAGCATATACTACTGGTGAGCTATACCTCTAGCTATAATGTGTTATTTTAAGAAAATAGCGCTTGGGGCTGGAGAGATGGCTCAGTAGTTAAGCCAGTAGTTGCTCTTTTGGGGGACCTGGCCTTGGTTCCCAGCGCCCACATGGCAGCTAACAACCACTAACTCCAGTTCCAGGGGAATCTGACACCCTCTTCTAACCTCCTTGGGCATTGCACAACATGGGTGCACTTACATACATACATGCAGGCAATACATTTATACACATTAAAAAAAAATAAAAATAAGCCAGGTATGGTGATGCATGCCTTTTATTCCAGCACCCAGGAGGCAGAACCAGGTGGATCTTTGTGAATTCAAAGCCAGTCTGGTCTACATAGTGAATTCTAGGCCAGCTATGAAAGACCCTCTCTCAAAAGACCAAAAACAAACAAACAAAAATATTTAGAGGAAATTTTAAATGCGTGTTTCTTTCCCTTCTTTCCCCAGTAGCAAGGGAGATCACCAGTGTGCCTGGCTTATGTTTATTGTCCCTAACTGGTTATCATTATTGACAGCACAAATATGGATGTCACTCTCACATTCAATATGCCCCAATTTGGATGGTAAATTTCAGGATTGCCTACCTGTACACTACAGTAGAGTTTTCCAAGCAGGTCTTTAACCATTCTCATGAGTCTCTTGAGGTACCCCCCCTCCCATCTATCAAATTGGAATCTTGGGGTATGGGCATAACCTGTAACAGACTTCCTAGTTAATTTCCTTCCTTCCACCCTCCCCCTCCCTTCCTTCTTTCTCTCCTTTTTCTCTTTCCTTTCTTCCTTCCTTTTTTTTTTGAAATAGGTATGTATTCCAGGCTAACCTTGAACTCATGAATAGCCCAGAATGGCTTTGAGCTCACTACAGTCCTCCTGCCTCAGCCTTCTGTGTAGGTTGGAATGCAGGCATGTGTCACCATACCAGACATCAAGTCAGTTCCTCTGTGTGTGTGCTAACATCTGAGAAATGGGTCTAAATTAGCCACTTAGAGGAGATTATCTAGGGACTAGAGAGATTTGCTCAGTGGTTAGGTGCCCTGGCTGCTCTTGCAGAGGCCTAGGGTTTAGTTGTCAGCACCCATGTGGTGGCTAACAATCACCTGTAATTCCAGTTCCAGGGGATTCAGTACCCTCTTCTGACCTCCATGGGCATTGCACACAAGTGGTACACTTACATTCATGGAGACAATACATTCATACACATAAAATAAATATAAATAAATGTTTGGAGTAGATTATCTGGCAATTGGGGTGCTGTTCCTTACATTATCAGTTCCCACAGGGACAAAGGGCCTTTGTGGTTGCTGAGCACACGTCTTTCCCCACAAGAGCTGTGTACTCACTTGTCATGGTTGACCTGCCATTGGTTTATGAAGATGCAGTGCTCCTTGGGAATGTAGAAGCCATTCAGTGAGGTATCCCTCGTTGTGCTGAGGAGAGAAGAGGGCTCTGCCAGGCTCATGCTTGGGAAAGTTGAGCCATGTCTTGTTCCTCCCTCCACTCTGTCCTGACGTCTGTTTACCACAGTCTTCAAACCTCATGCTGGGAGGTGGTGTGAGGAGCAGGGAAGAGGGGAAATTATCCTTTCCCTTCCTTGGCTCCTGTTTTTCACCTACAACACTTGTTCACTAGGCTTTTTTTTGTGCCAGCTGTGCACTGGCTGGTCTCTGGAGCCAGGCAGCAGGTGGTCTGGGCCAACCCTGGGGAGTCTGCAGCCTCTTACACCAGGAATAAACAGATCAAGGTGTGGGCAGAAGTAAATGTTTACTCTCACAATCAAAGGACAAGGGTTGTAAGTCCCAGAAGAGATCAGAGGGTCGGCCAGAAGGGAAAGTAGGTGTCAGGATTGACCTTAGGTAAGGACAGTGTGTGGAAGCCAGAAAAGTGGGTCCTCCTGGACAGAAGGTTCGTAAGCAAAGTTGGAGGGTGGCTGGATCCCACTTGTAAGGGTCAGTGAGGAGGGCCTACCTGGAGCAGAGGGCATGCAAAGGATGCAAATATGAATGGAGGTGAGTGACAGCTGAGTCCACAAGGGATTAGACTGGTAGGGGTAGACTGAAGGCTGAGTCTAAAAGGAAGCTAACAGGAAGGTTCCAGGAAGGAGACACAGGCCTGAGTCAGGGACCAGGCTGAGAAGCTGGCAGGAGGGGCAAGGTGCAGACTTGGAGTGCATGGAACAGGGGTCTCACCTGTGGGGGATGGTGAAGGGGACGAAGGAGGTGTATCGGTAGAGTTCCAGGATGAAGGCCTCCAGATAGGGCAGTTGGGGTCTATCAGAAAGCCGGGGCCTCCGATTCCTGCCAATCTCTGTGTCTGCAAAGCACAGACAGGAGGTCATGGGAGGCTCTGACAGCTCATACCATGTGTCACTCTATGTTGGATTATACTCACATATCTAGGACCCCACAAATCCCCCCACATCTTCTGGACAAGGGTGGATGCCATATGTCCAGAACTTATACATAGTAGTTATATAAATAGGTATTTTTAGGTTGAACAGGCGACCTGGAGCCTAATGCTTCTCAGACTAGAGGGATGGGGACACCACGCACCCATCTCCTTCTGGATCTTCCTCTGCACCTCAGGCTTTGTCACAAGGAGTAAAAGGCTCCAGGAGATGGCGGTTGTGACTGTGTCAAACCCTGAAAGGCATGGAGTGGAGTGGAGGAGAAAAGAAAACAGGAAGGAAAACATCTTTAGCAAGTATCTGTCATAAATGGAGCAGGCTTTATCTTTCTCTAGCTCCCACCATGTGTTTCCTGAGGGCAGGGGCTTATATCTCTTCAATAGAAACTTGAAAGCCAAGCATGGCAGCTCATTCCTGGAATCTCAACGCTAGGGAGACTGAGGTAGGAGAATAGCCACAAGTCTGAGACTAGCCTGGGTTATGAAGTGAGTTCCAGGCCAGTCTGGGCTACAGAAGTGGACTTTGTCCTCCCACCAAACTAAAAAATAAATAAATAAAATAAAACCAGAAAAACAAAGCAAAGGAAAGACCCACTAGACACTGCTTCAGAGTTAGCTGCTAGAATGACATGGCCTAGACTGTCAAGTTGAAGACCTCTTTACTGTTCAGATGGGAGAACTGAGAAAGGGACTAGGTTGAGTTTCCTCAGAGTTGATGGCACAACATGAGGTCACACCTTGATCCTAGGCCAGGTATCTGTCCAAACCACCTGACATGTGTTGGTTGGTTAGCTGATGAGCTGGATATGGGGGAATAGTAGCTGATGGATGGAGGGTCGGGGGTATGGCTCATACCGGCTCCAAAGAGGTCATTGACAATGTTGACGATCTTCTCTTGAGGGATGAGGCCACCACTGTTTTTGGAGTCCTCACTGTGCTTAAACAGGGCACCTGTGATGTCCTGGATACTGTTCTAAGGGGACACAAGTTTAGGGGCACCTTGGTGCTTCCATGGTCAAATGTCACATCTTGCCCCATCCTATTTGATACGTCCCAGGCACTGGGCTAAGGCTCAGACCTTGAACTGCATACAGCATAACAATCATTTCCTGCCCCATTGGCTCTTTCTTCCCATAACCCCAGGGGTCCAGTTTCAGAGGAGGAAGAGGTTGGTGTGAACAAAGGGAAGAAAAGTGACATGGAGCTGGAGATTAGCCTCTGTTGGGGTTCAGGTTTCCACAGAACAAAAGCCTCTATATGAATGCCCCCCAACACTTCAGAGCTCTGCCAAGGCTTCATTCACAGGCTTTCTTCCTGGGACTTTGAGCAGTCCCCAGAGGGGAGCTGAAAGGAGGTAAAAAATGAGGCTCAGAAGTGGGGAGGTGACAGCTGCAGGTCACACTGCTGCTTCTAGGCTTTGGCAGCACATGACTGTCTAAGTACCTCTGAGCAGGGTGGGAGGGGACACACTCCGGGCTGTGGGGGGCAGGGTGGGAGGGGGCTTGCTCAGTCTTACCTTGTCAAAGTCCTGATAATGCTTCTGGACCGTTTTCTGCAGGAACAGCACAAACTTATCATTGAAGGTCTTAAACCTCTTCAGGGAAGGGTTGGGTAGGTAGCGAAGGATGGGGAAGAAGTCCACAGCATTTCCAGAGGAGACATTCTCTACGAAGTCACTGCTACTCTTCACAATGCTGAGCATCTCCTCGCTGTTCTGGGGGAAGGTCTTCCCAAAGCACATGGCACCAATGACATTGACCACTGACTCTACTATGTGGTTGACAGGTTCGAAGTACCCAACCTCTGCCATCAGCTTCTGGAACTTGCTGACCAGATGTTCAGCCTCCCTGCTTGCATGCTCCTCCAAGTAGCAGGAAGATGTGGAAGTTGGGTCTGAGGCTATGGAGAAACTCTTCAGAGCATCCTGGGCCAGGCGACGTCGGGCAGCCCATACTGGTCCAGAGTCTGGGTTGAAGGTCATGCTCTTGCCATTAGTGATAAGTGTGAAGCTGTAGAGGTCTGGCCGACCTTTGAAGTCATCTCCCTGCTGCACCAGGGCCTTTCGTATGGTGTCCATGCCACTCAGCACCACCACAGGGGTGGAGCCAATGCGGATCTGCAGCACATCCCCGTACTTTTGGCTCAGCTTTGTCAGTGATAGGTGGGGGTTCTTCCCCAGGGTCAGCATGTGACCAATAAAGGGAAAACTCCAGGGTCCTGGTGGACTTTTCAGACCTTTGGGGACCTGGCTCCTTGAGGCTCTGATCACCCAGAATACTATGCAGAAGATGGCAGCAACCAGAAGTAACTCCGTGGCTGAGGAGATATACTGGAACAACGCCATTGGCACCAGTTGCTGGGGGAAAGGAAACGAAGGCCGGTTGGGGATGGAAGTGGAGCCATCCATTTACTCTCTCACTCACCTATCAGTAGGCACTGACACACATGCTGTGCTTGGCTCCCAGTTGGACACTGGGAAAATGAAGATATTCCTGTCATGAATCCTGTTCCCCCAGGAACTCACCCTTACTCCATCACAGAATCCAACGGCTGAGAAGGAGTCTTGAGATCCCAACTTTTATGCCAAAATTCTCAGCCCAGCATCTCTCTTCTCCCTCCCCACATTTCCAATTCTGAGACTGGAATGGAGGTAAGTGACCACTCCAAAACAGGAACACTAAAGACAGCTCCTAAACAGCCCCAATCACAGGGCATATGTTGGGCATTATGCCAAGGAGTCCTTATCAGTGTGGGTTCCCTGCTGGCATCTTCTGTACATCCAGAGAACAAGAACTGACCCCACTCACAGCAACATTGAGGAGGCCAGAGTCCTTGAGAGAGGTACCAATGGCCTATGATGTCCCCTTCCCTTGATAACACTCTTATCGATACCAAGCAGGGTACCTCCTCCAAAGATGAACCCCCATCCTCTCCCAGGACTGGAGGCTATGGTAGGCTTCATCCAGTGCCAAGGTTACCCAAAACCTGGTGGGGGCTCCCTCCACCTACTCCAAGCAAGGGTCCTCAGAGATGGCATAGTTCAAAGTGCTCAATTAAAGATAAAGTGAGGTCCAGGACTGAGCAGCAAGAAACTAGAACTCAGGCCTATTTCACCTCCCATAGGGTCCCTATCTCTCCATCTCTCTCAAGTCTCAGGATATAAGTGGAGAATGCCAGTTTCTGGAAAACAGACCCAGAGAGGTACCTATAGAGGCAGGTGCTTGAGATCTTCAGGGCTGTGGGAGACCGTCCAAGGCTTCTGGGTCCAGATGAGAGGGCCTTTATAATCCCACCTCCTCTGGACTGGCCCAGAAGTCTTGGTCACCTGATAGCAAAATTGGATACTAAACAAAGTCGGAAGGATCAATTGTTGGCTTCAGGCCATGATCCCTCAGCTCCACCTTCTACTCAAGGATCAGGGATAGCTTTCCGGGCCAGAAAGGGTTTCGGGTATTAGGGATAAATGTTCATGTCCTTTCAGGGGCTAGGGTAGAAGATGCACTTCTCTCAAGGACATGTCAGGATTTGGGATGTGAAAATTAGGCCTGTGTCCATGAGGAGAGACCACGCCTGGCCTGCAGTCGAGGCCAGCCAGGGGCAGCTTATGTTCCCTATTCCTCTCCTCTCCAGAGGTGTGCTCCTGTGAAGACCCACAGGAGAAGCATGTATGAGCCACTTTCCTCATCGATGTGACGAAATAACTGACAAAAGCAAGGTAAGCAGGAAGGGTTTATTTTGGCTCATAGTTTTAGGGAACAGTCCATCGTGGCAGGGGAGTCGTGGCAACAGGAATGTGAGGTGACTGGTCATACTGCATCTGCAGTCAGGAAGCAGAGAGCGATGAATGCTGGTGCTGGGCTTGCTTGCTTCTTTTAATCCAGTTTGGCACTCCAGCCTAGGGAAGGTGCTGCCCACATTCAGGGTGGATCTTCCCTCTCAGTTAAATCTTTCTGGAAAGGTCTTCACAGACACGCCCAGAGGGGTGTCTTCTAGGTGATTCTAAATCGATCCCAACAGGTTGACAGTGAAGATTAACCAGCACAAGCATGTTCTGGCTCTCTCAGAATCTCTACCCAAGTCCTCAGTCTGAAGAGAGGACATGAGGCACTCTCTGCTTCCCTCCACCCCTCCATCCCTTCCTCCTTCCCTCCCTTCTTCCCACCATTACTCCCTGCTGTGTGAGATGGTGAGAAATTAGGAGCAAATGAGGAGAATTCATGCTATGGGTTGTTCTTTATGGCAACTGGCTTGGACTCTTTTAAATAGTCAACATCATTGGAGGGGAAAAAAACAGACAAGTTCTAGGGCCAAGAGACTAAAAAGAACTAAAAGCAATGGAGCCAGGTACATGGTAGCGTAATCCCAGCAGAGGCAGGCGGATCTCTGTGAGTTCAATGCCAGCCTGGTCTACATAGTGAGTTCAGGTCAGCTGGGGCTACAGGGAGACCCTGTCTCCAAAAGACCAAAAACAAAAACAAGCAATCAAATGGCTCTGTTACAAAATGTGTATTCTGGGGCTGGCAGTAAAGGCTTGCTGCCAAGCCTGAGGACCTGAGTTTGATTAGAGTCCCACGTGGTAGAAGGAAAGAACCAGCTCCTGAAAGTTGTCCTCTGACCTCTGACATCTGTCTACGTCTGCACATATACATGTGTGTACATGTGCACCTTTGCAAACACACACACAAATAAATAAGTGTCATAAACCAAAAATTTGAAAAAAATACACTGCATTTTATTATAGTTGGCATGTACTTGTAGTATAATCTATTTAGGAGACCAAGGCAGGAGCATTGGTTTGAGCCCAGGAGTTCAAGGCCAACTCGGCTAGCATAACAAGGGACCTTGTCTTGTCTTTTTTTAAAAATATTTTATTATTTTAATTTTATGTGTATGCATGTATTGCCTGCATGAAGTTAAGTGCACCCATGTCGTGCAATGTCCGAGGAAGACAGAAGAGGCTGTTGGATCCCGTGGAACTGGAGTTATGGACAGCTGTTAGCTGCCATGTGGGTGCTGGAATTCAAACCCAGATCCTCTGCAAGAACAACCCAATTTTTTTAAAGTACATTTCTCCCTCTCCTTCTCTTCTCTTCCTTTTTCTTTCCATCTCTCTCAAAAGTACACATGAGGGGCTCGTGAGATGATTCAGTGGGTAAAGGTGCTTGCTGCACAAGCCTGATGACCTGAGTTTCATCCCCAGGACCCACGGTAGAAGGAGAAAACTGACTCCTGAGAAGTTAGCCTCTGACCTCCACATGTGCACTGTGGCACGTTCCCCCACCAATCATGCACACATACATACGATGATAATAAAAATAAAAATTTTAGTGTACACATGAGAAATTTCAGCTAGGTGAAGGCACGTAGGTGGTCCTTATGGGGACCCAGGTCTCAGCCAGATCTAAGAGGAAAATGGAGACAGTCTGAAATTGCGAGAAGTAAATTTTGATCTAGATTAGGCTGAAAAAGACAAAGCTGCAGGATCAACTTATGCAGGTGTCAAGGGTTAAGGATGGGGACTCTGACAGTGTGACCCCAGGTTTGAAATCAGCATCAAGGGAAGGAGAGGTCTGTGTCTGCACTGGGTTCAGTTCACTCAATGACAAGGGTCAATATGGAAGCCAGGTTAGGTTTTATACAAATTTGACTTCTTCTTATTAACTAAAGCCCACCATTTATTTAAATGCCCTTGGTGTTTATTTAATGTTCTTTATTTGGTCCATGCTCCCTTTGGGATACCAGGTGACATCTCGGCATCATTCTGGACAGTTCTTGGTTGTTGCAAGGCTCTCAGGAGGGCCTCAGAGGAAAAGTGCCTTTTTTTTTTTGTCTTTTTGAGACAGGGTCTCCTGCAGCCCTAGCTGGCCTGGAACTCGCTGCTGGCCTCGAACTCACGAGCTCTGCCTGCCTCTGCCTCCGAAGTGCTGGGCTCAAAGGCATGCACTACACACCCAGCATAAAGTGTCATTTAAAAACAATTATTTTTATTTTATGTGTATCAGTGTGTTACCTACATGTATGTAACTGCACCTGTATCGTGCAGTGCCCTTGGAGGTCAGAAGAGCGTGTCAGATCCCCTGAAACTGGAATCAAAGATGGGTCTTTTGAAAGAACAGCTAGTGCTCTTAACTGCTGAACCATCTCTCCAGCCCCTAAAGTGCCATTTTGACATGATATTTCAACATAATCCATCACTGTCTTTGTGGCTTGGATTAGTTGACTGAATAGTGTTTATTAAGTTTCTCCAAGGTACACTTGATCTTAGCCAAAAGGCAGAGAAATGATTTTTATTTGTACAAGTGTTTTGTTTTGTTTCATGGGTTTTTTTTTTTTTTTTTTTTTTTTTTTTTTTTTTTTTGTCTTTTTGAGACAGGGTCTCCCTGTAGCCCCAGCTGTCCTGGAACTCACTATGTAGACCAGGCTGGCCTTGAACTCACAGAGATATGCCTGCCTCCGCCTCCCAAGTGCTAAGATTAAAGGTGTGTGCCACCACCCCTGGCTCATTTTATGTTTTCTTTAAGACAGGGTCTCCCTATAGCCTAAGCTGGCCTGGAACTCGCTATGGAGACCAGGTTGGCCTTCATCTCACAGAGATCTGTCTGCCCCTGCTTCCCCAGTGCTGGGATTAAAGGTGTGTGCTACTATGCCTGGCTGTACAAGTGTTTTGATTGCCTATATGATACTGGTAAGTATGTAGTGCCCTGGAAGCCTGGAAGAGCCGCCATGTGGGTGCTGGGAGTTGAACCTAGTCCTCCGGAAGAATAGCAAGTGCTTTTAACCCTTGAACCATCTTTCTTCTCTAGCCCCCAAAGTTACTTCTTTCTCCTGTTTCCATTCTGCACTCCTTGGAAGGAAGTCATTGCAAACAGTCCACGCCCAAGAAGTGGGGAGTAGCTACTTAAATATTTGGACATTTCTCTATGAGATTGCTTTGTTTTTAATGTTTTCCTACAGCTTTTTGGTTGTTTGTTTGTTTTTGAGACAGGGTCTCCCTGCAGCCCCAGCTGGCCTGGAACTCACTATTTAGACCAGGCTGGCCAAGAACTCACAGAGATCCGCCTGCCTCTGCCTCCCGAGTGCTGGGACTAAAATGTGTGCGCCACCACGCCCGGCCTTCTTACAGCTTTTAAATTAAACTATAAGAGGGCTACGGTAAAGATCAGTTGGTACAGTACTTGCCTAGCATGCACAAGGCCCTGTGTTTGATCTCTAGCATCTCACAAACTGGATGTGGTAGCCCGTGCCTGTAATCCTAGCACTTGGGAGGTAGAAGCAAGAAAATCAGAAGTTCAAGGTCATCCTTGGCTACATAGAGAGTTTGAAGCCAGCCTAGGCAACATGAGAGCCTATCTCAAGAAACAAACAACAAACTACAAGAGGCAATAAAGAAAAGTGCATATATCATACGTATCTCAATGAAGTGTTTTATTTTGTTTGAGACAGTCTCACTATGTAGCCCAGGCTGACCTGTAATTCAAGAGCCCCTACTTGGGCTCCTTAGGTGCACCAGGCCTGGCTTCAATTAATCTTTACAAACTTGACAAAGCAGTGTAACTGACTCTCAGATGAGGAGATGGAACATCACCAGGCCAGAAGTCTCTGTGTATGCCCTCCCCAAAGTAGCTCGAATCCTGACTTCTAATTGTGCGGATTAGTTCAGTCTGTTTGTTTTTTTGTCTTTTTGAGACAGGGTCTCCCTGTAGCCCCAGCTGTCCTGGAACTCACTATGTAGACTCGGCTGGCCTTGAACTCACGGAGATCTGCCTCTGCCTCCCGAGTGCTGGGATTAAAGGCATGTGCCACCACGCCCAGCCCTTCAGTCTGTTTTTAAAAAAGATTTTATTTATTATTTTTAAATTTTATGTGTATGTGCATATGCCTGAGTGTATGTATGCATGCAGGTGGCCAAGGAAGCCAGAAGAGAGTGTCAGATTGCTTGGAATTGGTGTTACAGGTGGTTGTGAGCCATCTGATATGGATGTCAGGAACTGAATCCAGGTCCTCTGCAAGAACAGCAAGCGCTCTTTAACCTTAGGTACAGTTGAGGTGGCAGACAGGGTTGCAGAGATCTCAAGGACAGCTGAGAGAGGAGCCACTTCCAAATTCACGCATGCGGGGTCTACTTTGGTGTCCTGGAGTGTTTTGCTCTCATTCAGGCTGCAAAACAAATGTTCACTTCTCTGGCTTCTAGTCCAATACACCTTGGGACTGGAAGACCTTGAACAACATCTTTCACCTTCTCGTGTTTCCAGGGGTTTAGGATCTGATTACTTTCTCCTCTCCCTTCCAGCTCATTCTGGTTCTTTCC